GCAGATGATGGCGGAGCAAAATAGTTTTCAGAAGTTACCGGGACTACTGAACCTGTGTTTGGATTGCCTAGCACCGGATGAGTGGACAAAAAAGTTTGCTGAGGCAAATTATTAGAAACAGGTTGAATGACCTGCTGTAACCCTACTGGATTGTTAACGGAAACCTGCGATCGGACCAAATTCGACAAATTATGATGTTGTCCGTGAATGTGGTTACTGTAATACACTCCCGGATCACTAGAAGCTGCGTGGCCGTTATTCACGCCTGTAAAACTTGATGAGACCAAGTAATTTGTTGATGCAGGATAAGTTGCCTCAGGAGCTGTTGAACGAACGTGCTGCTCTTGATTGGGAACTACAACAGCATCAGGCTGATTGTGGTCGACAGATTCGACCCAGTGACGCGTACGATCCTTTTCGTCAATTGATAGTTGTGGAGAGATTCGAGTTAAACCACTTTCCTCAGCATTCTCACTGATTTCCGACAACTCATCTTCTAACTCAAGCCCTTTCAACTCAATTTCTGCCAGTTTTTTCCTGTGTTCTTCAGCCAATTCTTCCAACTCTAAACGGCTTTGTTGTTCTTTCAGTCTTAATGATACCTTTGCCTGAAACTCAAGTTCCTCTTGTTGTTTCTTTAAAATCATTAAATCGCGCTTTTTCTCAGAAAGTGTTTTCGACGGAGCGGCGGTATAACTAGATTTCTGAGAGCCCGATTGCTGATGTCGGCTGCTTCGATGCGACAACTTAGAGCGGGTATCTGTTTTATGCGACCGGGGTTTTTCACTTTTTTCAGAATGATGAGAAACTTTTGAGCTGCTATCAATTTTGTCCGGCTCTGTTACTGCCTCAAAACTTGTTTTATATGTGATAGCTTCCTGCAAAACTTTATCGTTGCTTTGAGTCAACTTATGAAGCCACATATCCTGTGCCGGTATCAATTCGTCGGGATTGGCACTTTTTGCAGCCATAACAATCAACTCAGTATTTATCTCGACCGCTTGCTCTATATAGTTCCTACATTTTTCAATATAAGTATCAATTTTTGAGCAACGACTCTGACTCTCTATGTATTCTAAAATTATCTCGTGGCATTTATAAAGTTCGTTTTCGAGAGTGCTACGTTTCTCAAACAACTTCTTAATTTTCTTCTGAAACTTAACTTTCATGCTTAATAATTTCAGAAATAAACGACTCTCAGAACATACCGTATTTTCACTCAAGTAAATCCACAAACTTTTACCTGGCGTTAAAGTTAAAGCTTAAACTGGGCTTTGTGAAACAAGTCTCTTTCACGCGCTTTTGAGACGGTGCGGATAGTATACGGAGCGCGTGATCCAAGGAACTAGCTCCTAGAATGAATACCACACACTCAAGAGACCTATGCGACGGCTACGTTACGCTAAAGTACCAATGGGGTGGGGAAATTAAGTAGGTCGGTTGAACTCCAACAACGCACACGGAGTAAACCTGAGGATGAAAGAATTCAACTTAACTCACTTAATATCACCGTACCTGACCACTTAACATTAGTGTCGCGCAACGAAGTCAATAATCGGACGGGCTGAAACGGCTTAGAATTACTTGAAGCGTACTGGCTTTCAGTTTCACCAATGTGGGTGGGGGATCAGGCAAATTGGTTAAGTTCCAACAACACACGCGGAAAAAACCTGAGGTTGAAAAAACTCAACTTAATTTGCCTGATATTTTGCTACCAGACCACTTACCATAAGGTTGGTGTCATGTTACAGCACAGTTTCGCAGAATTATGGGGACGTTTTGAGGAATTTTTGGCGATTTTTTACTTTTTTCCCAAAATTTTTCGGAAAACTTTGGTCAGCAGGTTCGAGTCGTAAACCAATCCAAAATTAGTCTAGTACCCCTTGTCTATGATCCGATTTTTTTTTTTGATTTTCAATCCGTTCACAATTACCCAAAAATTTGTGGTATCGGGAAAAAATTACCACTTGTAGCTTGCTTTGAGTTGGAATACACAATAGAAAATCGTATGTAATTTTATCGCACAGAAAGATTTTGAAAAAAAAAAACTAGAAGAGTGTTACAGTTTTTGACGATTTTGGAGATTTTCGGCACCGGAAATTTCTCTCTCACGAGTCTGCACAGCTACTTGCACGATATCTTAAATGACAGTCAGGATACCTGTTTTAAGAAGTCTTTCATCTGTCCTTCATCTTTCTGCACTATGGAATATCTGCTAATTGAGATAGAATCGGGTCGGTCGGGCTTACACGCCTGAAGATTCTCCCCAGCTACGGATTCTGTGAATATCAGTTAAGAGATGCCAACAATTTAACAAGGTTATTTTCTATCGTAAGTTGGTTTGGTGTAGTAACTTGTGGGTTGACTTCGAATTTGAACTCGTATTGTTTGCTACGCAAGCAAAGCTCGTTTTCACTGCAAATTACGTTTTGAGTATTCGGGTTTGTCTTTTTCCTGTAAGTCTGTTAAACTGTTGTCGATATTCGATGACAGTTCGTGCTTAAAATTCAACAAACTTTACTTCTTTTGCAAGTGGGAAAATAGAAACTGAGGTTTGATATCGTCCAACCGGCTTTTCGTACAACTGGCACTGGCACTGTTTAAGTAATGTAGCACAAACTCACCAAAACAGCGCCAACTGACATCTAATAAAGGGAGAGGAGCGTTGAAATGAGTAGGGATAAACAAGCTATCCTTTCGAGGTAAGTGATTTCACCTGGTCACCAAATTCAGTTGCAGTTGTTTGTTGTTGACGTAGACGTTGTAGCTACTCACTGATGCCTCGAGTCCCTTTTGGGGCGCCAAAATATGCGCGTCAATCTCCACGATTATATAAAAAACGGTTTTTTAAACACTTTAATTAAAGAGTATTTTCTCGGCAAAATAACTCCGGAAATTTGAAAATATAAGGATAATTTATAATGTTTAACAAGCTTTATCATCGGTAACATCGGTCACAATAAACTGCATAACTCAAAGCAAGCTGCAAAAATGCCCAGTATTTGTCCTTGAGACAAATTGCTCTTTTTAAAGGTCAGCCTTAACCAAGGCTGAACCAAATTAGAGCGAAAATCCGGTTAAAATGGGTTTTGGGGGGACCGAACCTGGTTACGGAGCATCCCATCAAGTTCGGTGCACATTCGAGTTCTAGAAAGGAAATGACCTAGGCGGGATTCGAACCGGCGCCGAAACCGCCGGGACGCATCATGTATACGCTCGGCTACTGTCCCTATATGCATTTATATTTTGGTTCAGTTTTATGCATTTATACTCTCGCACATTTACATTTGCGCTGCAACAAAAGGATCGGACAAAAACATAAAACTTAGGCATTATTGACAGTAACAGTTAAAAAAAGCAAATCGAGCAACGGTTTTAGTCGAAAATTGACAAGAAAAAATCCATCCATTTTGCAGAAACTTTTTGAAATTATGGAACTTTTTATTCCCAAGATAGCATTAAAATACCTTCAAAATTAACCTTAACAGGTTTTCAAATTGGTTTGAAACCGAATCTTTTTGGACACTGGGACAATTTTTAAAAAAAAACTTTCTACGTCGTTGCAATCAGGGCTGAAAGCGCTTTAATATGATATATCAATCCACCCAATACGATTATTATTTGCGATAACTGCTTTTGAATTAAAATCAAACTAATTTCACCTTATTCGTTCAAAATAAGACCATAAATCAACAATTTCTAACAAGTTTCTCTTAGCAATGGAAAATTATTTTTAACGTCGTTCGAATCACGGCTGAACTGACTTTAAGAACATATATTACTCGGCCCATTCGGAAGATTGTTTGTGGTACCTGATTTTGCGTTGAAAAAATTAAAATGCACCTAAATACAAAATTTTTCCCCATTTTCAATGGTCGGAATAATAAGCAAATCAAGACAATAACAAATTGTTTAATCGTTATCAATGAATTGTATTCATTATTTGTCAATGAATATAATGAAAACACTTATATAGCATGTATTGTTTTTTTCTTTTTTTTCGGAGAAAGCCATAAAAGTTGTTGGCGCTCAAAGTTGATTTTCGTGGTTTTACTTTTGTTTATCTGTACGGCCAATTCAAATTCATTTGTTAAAAATAAGCAAAACCAGCTCCCGAGAAACAGTTGCAAATCAAATGGTGAAAAAGGGGTGAATGAGTTCTAGTTTCAAAAATAGAAGTTAATTTCCAGAGTTCCAAGGAGAAAAATTATTTATTGTTTCTTCTTTTTTTTTCAAATTGGGCCACCTTTATCACAAGGAAACGTCGCAAAAGTGACAAATTTGTTTATTTTTTTTTTTCAGAAACTTTTGGTGGAAATAGTATATAACACAGTGGCTTAATACTGCCAAACAAAATACTGGAAATCAATAATTATTATTGTTCTGCGGTATTTTGTTTGGCAGTATTAAGCCCCTGTATTATAATATATCAATTCCGCGAAAAATTTCTGTGAAAATATTGAACTCAGGTTCAAAGTCATGATAAAGTGCGTTGAAACTATGTCTGGACCTTTCGCCTCAATCTTGTCTCGACCTTGTTTTAACTCGGCCCTAGTCAAACTTTATGATTATATCTACTGCTTCCTGTTATATTTTGTTGTGCTTACTATTTCTACATTTTGTGGAATAATTTCAAACTTATTTCGTTACTAGTTGCGACAACGCGATAACTATCATCCGCTTACTAAAAATTCACAAAACGCTGATTTTTCAACATAAAATATGAGAGTCTGTTACGTAAATCCAGAAATGTGTTAAGAAAGTAACAGGATCTACTTGTCAATCGCCCTTCCTTTGGTATCTACTAAAGAATTGTCATCCCTACAAACAAATAAAAACAGTAAATAGCACTACAGCTTTGTATCTAAAGTTCAAACTTTACTGTAATCTGATTGGTCGAAAATTTGACAAATTTATCTACTTAACAATTGCGGCCCCCTTTCTTAAAAGTGGGGCAATTGTTAAGTAGATCCATGTTTCGTAATAATTGAACTTTGTAGCGTATGGTGAACAACGTGAGCAGGAGGGTGTTGAGAGTGACGGCTAAGAAGAAAGTGGAGAGGAAGATCACTGTGGACCATCTGAAGGACCTCAAGGCCGCCCTCTCTCCCGTCTTCTTACAAAATAAGGTATACCTGATCCTGAATATTAGCTTTCATCCTTGACGGGAAGCATTGTTGAAGCGACAAAGCACTCCTCCCAGTTGATAGCTTCCTAATCGTTTCGCCAATAAAAAGTTTTGTTTTTAGTGTGAATAAATTGGGGTTTAAAATTTCAGCTGAAGGTCGTTTTTGTTTCGGTTTTTCAATTCAGGAAAACTAATTTGATGATATGCCATAGCAAAGGTCGACTAAAATTTTTCAAGATTTAGCAGTTTTGGCAGTTCTGAGGGGGTAAATGTTTGAAGGATTTTTGAGGGACGAGCTCTCCAAAAATATCAAAGAGAACCCATTCTTTCAAAACAAGCTGAACTACTCCAGCTAGAAACCAATGTAAAAAAATGAGAATGATCGCAGATGCATCTAGGTAGATGATACATAATGATAAGTTTGATTTTGTTCTTCAGGCCAACCTGACACAGTTGGATGATTCAATGAAAGACTTCATTCACTCTCGCTTCAACATTCCTAGGAGGGAACTGGACAGCAAACGCCATCACCACAAGCCCAGAAATTGAATAACATCAGCGACACTCAAGCAGCCATCGTTTATCAATATTAAATAGAATCAATGGTCACAAAAAACCAAACCGAACTTACCATAAAAAGGTCCCCTAGTAAAAGTATAGATAATTTCGAGCAGCAATTTTTTATAGCTCACATTTTTTTGAGGGCTATTCTGCACAAGTGCATCTATTACTGCTTACCTAAATTGAACTATGAGAAAAGAAATGTTTCGAATGGTCTTTTTTGCGGAGATGATGCGGCAAAGGTTTGAAGATTTGTTTTGAGAATTAAATCTGATGCAAATAGTGCACGGATTAAATATATGTCTCATTATAAAAATTCTTTAATCTTAAGTTTTTAAATGGGTAGTTTCGTAATTGATGGGTTGCAATATTTCCTTCTAAATTCAATTTAAACCACGTGGACGAATTTTGCTAGTAACTAACATCTTTCCGAATTTCATTAAAATCTACGTTGCATAGACATTTGAGCGGCTTTACAAGTTGGGGATGTGATATCCTATACGGTATCTTGTTGGAAAACTAGTGATAATTCAAGAATGTATACTTTGTAGCTTGAATTAATTGTTTTTTTTTCTGTCTATTTTAATAGTCACTGATAGTGATACAGTAGATTCAAACTCTGAGCTCTCAGCTGTGTATCATTGTCTCTGAACGCGTGACCTTGGACACATAATAATAATAATAATTGATACCACTGAAAATTATTATTACATCATGCGATTACTGCTATTGCAGTAGCAGTATGACATACCCCCTCGAGTGGAATTTTTTTTATATATATATGAAATAATTTATACGATAAAGAGTTTCATACACTCCGTTCAAAAAGAGTTCCCGAATTTGGAAAATTTTTAATTGCAGAATTTCAATTTCCTTAGTTATCTTCCAGGTCAATTCTCCAGCAAGGATTCTAATTTGCACCTTTGTCCAGCGTTGCGTATCCAAATTTCCTCCTGAATAAGTGTCTTTCTAGGAGGCGTAATTTGGACTCTATAGGCCTGTCGCTTCGTTCTTGGAGGTCCGTTAATCTTCGTCGGTACTCCTGGAGTGCGGCCTTGAGAAGTGTCCCCCTGACAACTCCTCCGATACTTCCTTGATGGAATGTTTGACCGGGTCCCCAATCCGTTTTGGCTCTTTACTCTTAGTATGTCTTGAGATTTGTCGGACTCCCTAATCTTCGGCGCTAGAATCGTCTGAAACCCCCTAAGGAGGCTCAAATCTCGTATCCCGTTCAGATGCTGGCTGAACATGTCCTCTGAGGTCGTCCGCGACCTTTTGAACCCCCCTCTTGAGAAGTTGGTCCGCAAAATTCTACCACTCCGCTGGTGCCAGGTTTCGGTTTTGAAATGTGTCGAGGATGTCGTCAGGGCGTGTTTCTGAGTCTATCTTCTTCAGCTTGGCCTTTTTTTGGAGTGGAGCTCGATTGAACGTTTTTATTCGAGCTATACAAAGTGGAAGTTGATTGTTCGTTGCTCTGGTCGACTGTGGTAGCAGTTTGTTTGGGCGATTTTTCAGGTTTGTCGTCTCGTTTCTTGCTTTTCGTCTTTTTCTCTGATTTCGTTAATGCAACCTCTTCCTGCGTTTTAGGTCCTAGTATTGAACTAGGGCCCGCTGTATTTGGCTTGGCTCGTTTGATGGCAAGGCTTACACCCCCTCCAGCTTCCGTGTCCTTCGAGGTTATGACTGTTAGGCTTTGTTGGAACCGATCCACCGGGTTCATAAAATCTGCTAGATCAACGGCCCGTCGCAGTTCTTCATCCAAATCATTGTCCTCTAAGTTTTCTGGGGAAGTGATTCTTTGAAGCTTGTTGTGTGGTTCCGCCGATGAACTTTTGCTTTTGCTCCGCGTTTTCTCTTGTTACAAGCTAGTTTTCGCTTGAGCGATATCCGATTTTCTGTAAATTGATCCTTTCGACGTTTTGAATGTCGAATCGGTTTCCGTCGATATCTTCCCCTTTAGCGGTTTTGTGAGCGCTTGGCCGCTCTTTCATAATTCGTCCTTACGCAAAATTGTCTTTTTCGGACACTGCGTATTTTCCTGGTCCTTATCCTCTATGAATCCCTTCTCCCAGGAGTAGATCATCTTTTTTCGTAGTTCCGGGTTAGATAGGCCTGTTTCGTCGAAAATCCTCCATAAGTCGTTTTTCGCTGCCTCTCTCCTTTCCTCATTCCAGCGAGCGTTCGCTTCCGGTAGTTCTTTGAGAGCTTTTGCTCTCTGACGACCCCTGTCTGAGTGTACTTGCTGCTTACGCAGTGGGCTGGCTTCCCTGCTGAGTTCCCCCCTCCTGACCCTTGGTCAATTCTTCGCTTTAGCTGTGATGCCGTTAGCGCCGATCGTTCCACATGCTGTTTGTCTAAATAGTCAGAATTGTTTATAAACTTATCACGTAAGGTTTCAATTTCGTTTTTTGAAAGTCTGCCGAAATATGCCTGGAAAGGAGATACTTGAATAGTTTTCTGCTTGTTCCAACGTAAGTCTCGCTTTATGGTACTAAGACATAGTTTTATCGATCGATTTATTTCTTCTAACAACATTACCCCCAATCTTTGTTTTATGGTTTGTATTGTTCGTTCTACTAGACCGCAACCCCGATGATCACCCACCGGACAGAATTTTTGTTCAATATTAAGTTCAGTGCAAAACTTAATGCCATGTGTGTCTATATATGATCTCAAAAATTTTACTGTACACTTTCCACTTGTTGATTTTGTGACCTTTACCGAAGAAAATTTCGAGAATCTATCTATAGCTACTAGAAGGTAGATATTTTTTCCTCGGTGGTTTTTTAACGGTCCCGCGTAATCTAAATGTACATCTTGACCCGGTTGCGTAAGCGTTGGCAGTGGTTTTGACGCATTTTTCGGAGTAAGATATTTTAGGTTCTTACCATATCTGGTGCAACTACGACACTCTTCCGCGAGGTTCACTATGTCCTTGTGCATATGCGGCAACCACAGGTATTGTGACACACCTAGCATAGCCTCTTGACCCGGATGTCCCCGATGAATTCGTTTGAGCACAGCTCGTCTCAGTTGAAGAGGTACTGTCAGTCTGTTGTTCACCAGAATGCAATCGTCCTGCACCGCCATCTGCGACCACAGATGGATTCGTATACGGTCCCATCAGCTCGAATCCCTGTCTGTCTCCTCTCTCAATGACTGGTCTGAGGCGGTCCATCCACATGTCATCGGAAGTCAGTTCTGCCAGGAGACTTTTATCAAACAATTTGGAGAGATTGCACAGTGACTCCTCCGTTTGCTGTTTCTGCAGCTTTTGTTCCTTTTGTTTATTGGATGTGATGATGATTGGTACTTGATCGGTCTCCTCCGGAACTTTATCGGTCTCTTTCGATGCTCCCACTAGTTCCCGATTGATGTTTCTTGTAGTGTTTTACTCTCCCCTGACCAATTGCCAGAACGAAGATAGCCTGCTGTCCGCGTCTTTTTGTTGGTCGGGTTGCAATTGCCATTTGACTCTTGATTGAATTCTTGTTTCGCTCTCCGAGCTGTCTCTGTTTCTCCGGCCCCCGCGAATTAGTTTTCTTGTTGTGCGGACCTCCTCTTCGGACAATTCGTTTGTGTTCGACAGGGAGCGATTCCACTTCGGTTCCAGAATGCTCTCCTCTCTGTAATCATTTCTCCATTCCTGTGGTGTATCCGACCACCAGTCGTATGAACGATTGAAGTTTTCTTCATCTCCTTTTTTGAGTCTGTTTTTTTCTGAATTTTGTTGACTGATTGTTGAATTCTTTTGGCAGTTTCTTGACACAACTGTTTGCTGGGTTGAAATGAAAAAAAAATTGATCTGTTTTCTTTGTGAGCTGCTGTTTAGCTGTTTGGACGGTCACGAAAGAAAATTTTTTTTTCATTCCGGTCAAGCGTTGTTCGTTTTTGACCGTTTTGGTTGCCATATCAACCACTAAACGATGACTTTTTTGCAACATTCCTTCTAGAATGTTCTAGAATGGTTTCGTTTCGGTTGAGGGACCCAGTGTTTTCTATAATAATGCTCATGCAGTATAATGCTTCGTGAAAAGAGTTTATTGTTGCCACTACAAATCTTTCGTCTAATTCCGATTCGGGCCAAAGATCATTATAAGGACCACACAATAGATAATTGACTATCCCCATGACCCTTCCTGGAATGTAAACTCTTTTAAATTGATATGGACACAATCGATCGACCCACCGGGTCAATCGGGATTGATAGGTTTTGTTTGACTTGTTCTCATCTAAGGCTGATGTAAGGGCTTTGTGATCGGTTGCAATTGTAAATGTTTTACTTAAAAGGTAATGTGTGTATCTGTCAACTGCCCAAACAACTGCAAGTAACTCCAGTTCATTTGTTGAGTATTTTTTCTCTTGTATATTTAGGTATCTGGATGCAAATGAGGTCGGAACCCACGATCCTTCACCTGTTTGTTGCTATAATGTAGCCCCCAAGCCGTTGTGGCTTGCGTCACATTTAACTCTTGTTTCACGATTAGCTTCATAGTAGTTTACTTTTGAAATATTTGCTAATGCGTTTTTTTATGGCATCAAACACCACTGTGTGTTCATCCCCCCACTCAAATTTTTACTGGTAGTTTCATGTTTTTCAGCTTTTTCTTTTGATTCTCCTCTTTGAGAAGGGGCCGCAATTTTTCTGTTAAGCTTGCCGCGTTGGGTATGATTTTTGCTGGATGAATTATACTACCCAGAAATGATCCTAATTGCTTTAGGGATTTTGGTGGATTTAAAATTTGTATCGCTTCTCTTTTAGTAAACTTTGGACTGATCCCTGACTGTGAAAGTTGATGCCCCAATCAGTTCACCTGGCTTTTGAAGAATTCGAATTTCGAAACTTTTAATGCCAGATTTTCATCATTCAACTTTTTCAGTACCGTTTCTACTAATTTTTCATGTTCGGTTTCATTACCTTACGACACAATGAGAATGTCGTCCAAGAAACAAAAAGTGTTATTTGCATGGTTAATAGTTCTGTCCATAGCTTTTTGAAAACCGGCTTGCATGTCTGCTAAGCCACAGAACCCTGTAAGGAATCTATACGTCCCGGTAGCCTTTCCTTCAACGATATTGAAGTTACACTGCTTAGCTGTGTCTGCAGCCAATTTTAACTGGCTATACGCGTACTTTAAATCAAACACTGTAAATTAAAGTGTGCCCTATTTGTTTTCTGTAACTTTTTGG